ACTATTTTTTAACAAGACTGGTGTACTGTTGTTTGGGAATCCTTGTGAACTGTGAGACAGGGTTTAGCTTAAAGGGGAATGTATGTGCTTTAGCAACGCTCTTCGGCACATCACTTTCTTTGAGTACAGTGGTACTTTGGTTTACAAACTTAATCCCTTCCAGAAGTCCGTTCTTAAACCAAGACGTGCTTTCCCATAGCAGCGGGGGACTCAATTTACAAACGGAACACACTCAACAGGAAGCGAAACATGTTCTTCTTCCAAGGCAAACTTCACAAACCAAAACACTTACTTCCGGGTTTGCAGTGTTCTTAATCCAAGTTGTTCATAAACTAAGCTGTTCTTAAACCAAGGTACCACTGTACTCAAGTGGAGGCAATGGCCAGAAGATTCTTTTACCAGCTTCTCCCCAGCTCCTTGTAGTCAGCCACAGTTATTCATGTGGGTCTGCCTTCAAAAAACAGGTCAGGAACAATAGTGGGTCCAAAATGTGGCAGACAGGCTTTTGTCTGCTGCCTGTGAAAATAATTTCAGTTCCATATCTATTTCACTGGCCACCTGTTTTCATAGAGCCATAGAACTGATGAGTTGGAAGGGACTCACCAGGGTCATCTAGTCCAACCCCCTGCAGTGCAAGAACATGCATCTGACCCATATGGGAATTGAACCTTGGTGTTATCAGAACCACGCTCTAAACCAACTAAGCTAACCTGTTTCCTTATGGTCAGCTGTGGAGATCTCCATATCCATTTCATCATCCTTGGCCATTAGGCAAATCCAGGACCTTCTCAGTGGTAGCTCCATGGCTTAGAAATATTCTCCTAGGAGAGATCAGCCAGCCTCTCCCCCCCCCAATAATGTTTATTAATTTTTTCCCAAATATCTTAAACACAATACAGCTTAACAATCTTATTCTCCTTTCAATCTATATCTTATCCAAATTAACTTCCCTCCACCACTCTTCCAGGGGACGCAGGTGGCGCTGTGGGTTAAACCACAGAGCCTAGGACTTGCCGATCAGAAGGTCGGCGGTTCGAATCCCCGCGACGGGGTGAGCTCCCGTTGTTCGGTCCCTGCTCCTGCCAACCTAGCAGTTCGAAAGCATGTCAAAGTGCAAGTAGATAAATAGGTACCGCTCTGGCGGGAAAGTAAACGGCGTTTCCGTGCGCTGCTCTGGTTCGCCAGAAGCAGCTTAGTTATGCTGGCCACATGACCTGGAAGCTGTACGCCGGCTCCCTCGGCCAGTAAAGCGAGATGAACGCCGCAACCCCAGAGTCAGCCACGACTGGACCTAATGGTCAGGGGTCCCTTTACCTTTACCTACCCCTCTTCTAGCTTCTCTACATTGCTCTTACGTAAGCGTGATTACTATATATACATTCTATAAATGTCTATAATTCCTTAATAAATGTTTGTGTCATACTTTAGACATACATTCCTTATTGTATTACAGCATTACATCTTGTGGTCTAACCAAATGTTTACAATAAGCGTTATGAGTTTTATTTCAGTCCTGTGAGTGTCTTTATTTATGTACAGTTTTCTCTAAGCATACCATAAATTTGGACCATTCTTTTTGGAATTTTTCACCTGCTGTCGGATTCTTCCAAGTTAGCCTTGCTATTTCCGCATACTCCAATACTTTCTGCTGCCATTCTTCAGTTGTTGGAATATCCTGTTGTTTCCATCTCTTTGCGAGGAGTAGTCTTCCTGCTGTTGCGGCATACAGGAAGAATTTCTGATCTTCCTTTTTAATGTCCTCTCCAACCATTCCTAGCAAAAATGCCTCTGGTTGTTTTTTTTAAAGGCGTACCTAAATATCTTTTTTAACTCATTATACACACTATCCCAAAAAGTCTTCACCTTGTCACACAGCCACCACATATGGAGAAAATTTTCCTCTTTTACAGTGCATTTCCAACAGTTCTTATTTTTCATTATGTACATCTTCGCTAGCAAAGATCAGCCAGCCTCTCTGGGTTCTTTTCGCTCTAAACTAGGTTTTTCTTTTCTTTTCTTCCAACAGGTTTCTATTTAAAGTTTTACACATGCTGAATTGGATACTACATTTCAAACGGCTTCTCTTCAGTTTACATTTGGTTGAGTTTTTAACGCGTGGTTTTGCTTCGTGATAGATACCGTATTTTTCGCTCTATAAGACGCACTTTTTCCCCTCCAAAAATTAAGGGGAAATGTGTGTGCATCTTATGAAGCAAATGCAGGCTCCACGGCTTCAGCAAAAGCAACGCGAAGTCTCCGAAGTGCAGTGGGAGCGCTCCCGCTGCGCTCCAGCGGCTTTCTGTTGCTTTCGCTGAAGCCAAGAGACTCTCGCTCTCCTGGCTTCAGTGAAAGCAACATGGAGACTCCGAGACTCTCCTGGCTCCCGCTGCACTCTGGAGGCTTTGCGTTGCTTTCGCTGAAGCCAGGAGAGCGAGACGGGTCGGTGCGGCACTGACCCCTCTCGCTCTCCAGGCTTCAGGGATAGCCACCTGAAACCAGGAGAGCAAGAGGGTTTGGTGCACCCCGATCCCTCTCGCTCTCCTGGCTTCGCTTTGCTGGAGAGGCGCTGCGCAGCTTTCCCTCTCTGCGCAGAGCCCCTTCAGCGAAGTGGGAGGAGAAATGGAAGGGGCTCCGTTTCTCCTGCCGCTTCACTGAAGGGGTGCTGCGCAGAGAGGGAAAGATTTTTTTTCTCTTGTTCTCCCCCTCTAAAACTAGGTGCATCCTATGGTCGGGTGCGTCCTATAGAGCGAAAAATACGGTATTTTCTGCTTTGCTCCGTTTGGCAGAAGAGCTCACTATACTTTACTTACTCAGCCAACCTGCCATGAAGGCAAAGCAGGACTTGGGAAAAGAGGACCCTTCCTCGAACGATGTGCCTTCGTAATGAATTGCGCTTGGTTGCTGAGAAAGGTCAAGCGTCCCAGCTGTGTGGTGTTTACAGCACTGGCTAAAGACTCTCCCACTGCCATACCAGCACATGTTTGCTGTCACTTAATGATTTACTGAGTTTCCAGTGGGAAGGAATCAAAATTAGAAATTTAGCTTTGGTTGAATTGTCATCCTTCCCGCAGAGGTTCTGCCAGTGAGTGCTAGACACAATTGCTCCTGTAGTTTTAATTAATGGAGTAAATTTGCAGTGACTCAGGTTTTTATATCTTTTATTACTTACTCGTTATTTTCATTCCCTTATTTCTAATGACAGCTATAATGGCTATCTTGTACTTCCAGGAACCTTTTAATGAGGGTGAAAGAGGAGATCGCAAAATATGGTTTGAAGCTCAACAGCAAAAGAACGAAGATCGTGGCCACTGGTCCCATCACCTCCTGGCAAATAGAAGGGGAAGAAATGGAGGCAGTGAGAGATTTTACTTTCTTGGGCTCCATGATCACTGCAGATGGTGACAGCAGCCACGAAATTAAAAGACGCCTGCTTCTTGGGACAAAAGCAATGACAGACCTAGACAGCATCTTAAAAAGCAGAGACATCACCTGGCCAACAAAGGTCCGTATAGTTAAAGCTATGGTTTTCCCAGTAGTGATGTATGGAAGTGAGAGCTGGACCATAAAGAAGGCTGATCGCCGAAGAATTGATGCTTTTGAATTCTGGTGCTGGAGGAGACTCTTGAGAGTCCCATGGACTGCAAGAAGATCAAACCTCTCCATTCTGAAGGAAATCAGCCTTGAGTGCTCACTGGAAGAACAGATCGTGAAGCTGGGGCTCCAATACTTTGGCCACCTCATGAGAAGAGAAGACTCCCTGGAAAAGACCCTGACGTTGGGAAAGATGGAAGGCACAAGGAGAAGGGGACGACAGAGGACGAGATGGTTGGACAGTGCTCTCGAAGCTACCAGCATGAGTTTGACTAAACTGCGGGAGGCAGTGGAAGACAGAAGTGCCTGGCGTGCTCTGGTCCATGGGGTCACGAAGAGTCGGACTCGACTAAACGACTAAACAACAACAACAACAACTTCCAGGATTGCAGGCAGTATGTCTCTAAATGCCAGTGGATGAAGAACGCGAGTGGAAAAGGGTGCTATTCTGCTCACGTCCTGCCTGTGGGTTTCTCAGGGGCATCTAGTAGGTGGCTGTGAGAACAGGTTACTAAATTAGGGTAGAATCATAGAATCGTAGGCTTTGAAATTAATAACACTTTACCTTTGTCACTGGCTTCTTCATGGAAACATGGAATTATAGAGTTGGAAGGGACCACGAGGGTCATCTAGTAGTAGTAGAAGAAGAAGAGGAGGAGGGGGAGGAGGTGGTGGAGGAGGAGGAGGAGTTTGGACTTGATATCCCACCTTTCAATCCCCTTAAGGAGTCTCAAAGCGAAGATGATGGATTTTTCGGAGCTAGCCTACCTAACCGGAAGAGTCCGTGACCAGAAGGAGGAGGAGTATCAGGAAGATTGGATTAAATTTAATTATTATTTAGTTAAATATATTAAGCTAAATTAATTAATTAAATTAATTGGAAACAGCTTGTAGATACTTAATTGGCTTAGGATTTTACTTAAGTTAAGTGATGAATTAATATGTTTAATTTCAAAAGGAAAAGATCTAAGAATGTTAAGGTTCAAGTTAAATTTTATAAGAACTGTGATTTGGAAAACCGTTAAAAGGACATGCAATGAAATTCAACCAAGGGGAAGTGAGGAAGTCACTTAACAATGTTAATAAGTGTAATTTTTTAATAAGGTTATGAATTATGTTTGTTTGTTTTATGTGTTTGTTTGTTTATTATTTTGTGAAAACCAATAAAAAAAATTGGGGGGGGGATAAGGAGTCTCAAAGCGGCTAACAATCTCCTTTTCCCTTCCTCCCCCACAACAAACACTCTGTGAGCTGAGTGAAGCTGAGAGACTTCAGAGAAGTGTGACTAGACCAAGGTCACCCAGCAGCTGCATGTGGAGGAGCCGGAAAGCGAACCCGGTTCACCAGATTACGAGTCTTAACCACTACACCACACTGGCTCTAGTCCAACCAACTGCAATGCAGGAATCTTTTGCTCAGTGTGGGGCTCAAACCCAGAACCCTGAAATTAAGAGTCTCATACTCTACCAACCGAGCTATCAGGGTTCTTGTATATTATATGAGACTTATCTTTTATTAAGGGACGCGGGTGGCGCTGTGGGTTAAACCACAGAGCCTAGAGCTTGCCGATCAGAAGGTCGGCGGTTCGAATCCCTGTGACAGGGTGAGCTCCCGTTGCTCGGTCCCTGCTCCTACCAACCTAGCAGTTCAAAAGCATGTCAAAGTGCAAGCAGATAAATAGGTACCACTCCAGCGGGAAGGTAAATGGCGTTTCCATGCGCTGCTCTGTTTTGCCAGAAGCGGCTTAGTCATGCTGGCCACATGACCCAGAAGCTGTACGCCGGCTCCCTCGGCCAATAAAGCAAGATGAGCGCCGCAACCCCAGAGTCGGCCATGACTGGACCTAATGGTCAGGGGTCCCTTTACCTTTACCTTTTATTATGTGTGCTACTAGTTCTATTGATGCCTGATTATTTAGTATAAATAAATATAGCACAGGAAAACATCAAATATTAAAAGCTTCCCTATACAGGGCGACCTTCAGATGTCTTCTAAAAGTCAGGTACTGTAGCTGTTTATTTCCTTGATATCTGACGGGAGGGCGTTCCACAATGTGGGTGCCACTGCCAAGAAGGCCCTCTGCCTAGTTCCCTATAACTTCACATCTCTCAATGAGGGAACCACCAGAAGACCCTCAGACCTGGATCTCAGTGTCTGGGCTGAACGATGGGGGTATACTCCTTCAGATATACAGTCGTACCTTGGAAGGCAAATGGATTCTGTTCCAGAAGTCAGTTTGACTTACAACGCATTTGGAAACCAAAGCGTGCCTTCCGATTGGCTGCAGGAACCTCCTGCAGCCAATCAGAAGCCACGGAAGCCCCATTGGACATTTGGCTTGCGAAATAACGTTCGAAAACTGGAACAGTCACTTCCAGGTTTTGATCGTTCGGAAGCCAAAACATTTGAGAACAAGGCTGTTTGACTTCCGAGTTACAACTCTACTGGTCTAAGGCCGTTTAGGGCTTTAAAGGTCAGCACCAACACTTTGAATTGTGCTTGGAAACGTACCGGAAGCCAATGTAGGTCTTTCAGGACCGGTGTTATATGGTCTCGGCGGCCGCTCCCAGTCACCAGTCTAGCTGCTGCATTCTGGATTAGTCATGGTTTCTGAGTCACATTCAAAGGCCGCCCCACGTAAAGTGCATTGCAGTAGTCCAAGCAGGAGATAACTAGAGCATGCACCACTCTGGCGAGACAGTGAACAAGCAGGTAGGGTCTTGGCTGGTGTACCAGATGGAGCTGGTCAACAGCTGCGCTGGACACAAACTTCTCAAACAAGGCATTTCATTAACGGCCTTAAAAACAGTTGGTCTCTCATCCTCCTGCAAGGAAGTGTCCAGTCTCATGTGACCATTCCACCCATGGCTGCTTTCATCAGAGAGGATGGGCAAGAGTCAGGAACACAAAGCAATCAGCCATGCAAGTATCTCGCCCACATTTGCAGACCAAAGGAGCTGGGAAGTATCCGTAACAGAGACCCACAAAGATGGAAGGACACATCACTATCACCAGCAATTGAAGAATGACTATTAAAACTAACAGACTTGGCTGAGATGGTGAAACTGACATGTGTAATCAGAGAAAAGTCATTTGTTAAAGATTGGAAACCTCTCACAGACTTTTGGCACGAGAAAGAAAATGGAATAATGACATTTGGATTTGTGGATTGAAGATAATGTTTGTCTATATAAAGTGGTTTTGTGGGGTTTTATATGGGATTGGACAAAGTGAATACTGTGTTGTTTTTATATAGCAGACAGATGAAGAATCAGAAGTTCTTTACTTTCTGAATCTTACATTTCTATCTTTCTCTTTTAATCTCTTTCCTATTGTTTTCATTACAGTCAAACCTCGGTTCCCGAACGCCTCCGTTTTGGAACGTTTCAGCTCCTGAACGCTGAAAACCTGGAAGTACAGTATTTTTCACTCTATAGGACGCACCGGACCATAGGATGCGCCTTGTTTTAGAGGGGGAGAACAAGAAAAAAAATTCTCCCCCTCCCTGCTCAGCGCCCCTTCAGCGAAGCGGCAGGAGAAATGGAGCCCCTTCCATTTCTCCTCCCGCTTGGCTGAAGGGGCACTGCGCAGCTTTCCCTCTCTGCTGAAGCCAGGAGAGTCTTGCTGTCCTGGCTTCAGCGAAAGGAACCTGAAGCCTACGGAGCGCAGCGGGAACTTGCGCTGCACTCTGAAGGCTTCAGGCGGCTATCCCTGAAGCCTGGAGAGGGAGAAGGGTCGGTGCACTCCAGGCTTCAACAAAAGCAACGCGAAGCCTCCGGAGTGCGGAGGGAGCACTCCCTCTGCGCTTCGGAGGCTTTGCGTTGCTATCGCTGAAGCCAAGGAGCCTGCATTTGCTCCATAGGACGCACACACATTTCCCCTTCATTTTTGGAGGGGGAAAAGTGCGTCCTATGGAGCGAAAAATACGGTGTCTTCCGGAATGGATTAAGTTCAAAAACCGAGGTACCACTGTATTATTCTTTCTTTCTTTCTTTCTTTCTTTCTTTCTTTCTTTCTTTCTTTCTTTCTTTCTTTCTTTCTTTCCTCTCCCCTTTTTGGGTTTCTATAGTATCTATATAAAAGTCTTGGTTTGGTTAAGAAACAGGAAAAGATATCAAGTTTTGTATTTTTCTCTATAATCCTTAATAAAATTTATTTTTTAACAAAGAAAGTATCCGTAACAGAACAAGCAGGCCCCTCAGGCACATTAACTGGCTCCAGAAATCATCCTGAACTAGAATGTATGGGAAGTGATTTTATCTGCATTGTGTTTTGCAAAGCTGTCACACTGGAACTTCAAGAGCTTCTCTGCACCTCCATGAACACTAAGAGGTGACCAGTTATGTCTAGGTGATCTTAGCTGTTTTGCTATAGGCACCTGCTGCGTTAACTGCAGGTGTTGGCAGGTGAGCTGGGCTTGCACAGATGCTGATTTGTGGAGCTATGCAAGTTTCACTGCAGCAACACAATTAGGCCCTGGCAGGCTGGCCAAGTCTATTGGATTAGTTCCCAGCAGATTTGTTCCTGAAACAACAAGCCACATGCATGGAAGGGGCTCGCTTATGGAACAGATGTTTGGTTCTGTGGGGAGGCAGAAAAGCAGAGGAGGTTGAGGGAGACCTTAGCCCAAAAGGCTGAGAAGCAACGGTCTAAGCTTATCTTGGTTTCAATCCCACTACAAATCAACATTATTCTCTGTTTACATTTACATTGGGAAGCTGAGAAAGGCCTCTCTCCACCCCACGGTCAGTTTGCATTTCTTAGTGCAGAAAGTACTGCTCTGATGTGTAGAGATCTTTCCTATTCTAATTAATTCAAGAGGGTTCTGGAAGCTTCTCTGTGCCAAAGAAGCAAGCAGAAGGTTCGTGATGTTTGGGTTATTCCTTCAGAGAAGCTGAGTACAACTGGCTTAACCTGGTTCTGTTATCTCTTCTGTCAAGGTCATGCTGACTATAAGAAGAAGCCAGAAGGAGCCTGACTTTCACACTTTCTCTCTGTATCTCTTTTCCTTCTAGTGTGGTGTTTTGCTTAGTGTTAAGGTTTTAGACCACCTAGCAGTTCAAAGGAAGCGGGTGGAGCTGTGGGTTAAACCACAGAGCCTAGGACTTGCCAATCAGAAGGTCGGCGGTTCAAATCCCCGCGACGGGGTGAGCTCCCATTGCTCGGTCCCTGCTCCTGCCAACCTAGCAGTTCGAAAGCACGCCAAGTGCAAGTAGATAAATAGGTACCGCTCCGGCGGGAAGGTAAATGGCGTTTCCGTGTGCTGCTCTGGTTCGTCAGAAGCGGCTTAGTCCTGCTGGCCACATGACCCGGAAACTGTACGCCGGCTGCCTCGGCCAATAAAGCGAGATGAGTGCAGCAACCCCAGAGTCGGCCACGACTGGACCTAATGGTCAGGGGACCCTTTACCTTTAGCAGTTCAAAAGCACGCCAAGTGCAAGTAGATAAATAGGTAGCGCTCCGGCGGGAAGGTAAACGGCGTTTCCTTGCGCTGCTCTGGTTCTTCAGAAGCGGCCTAGTCATGCTGGCCACATGACCCGGAAGCTGTCTGCGGACAAACGCCAGCTCCCTTGGCCTATAGAGTGAGATGAGCACGCAACCCCAGAGTCGTCTGCAACTGGACCTAACGGTTGGGGTACCTTTACCTTTAAGGTTTTTGACTTATTATAAGTTATTGTAAGTTTAAGTTAAATCCGCTGCAACTGGATTCCTTATGGACAGTGCCAATCCTGAATGTGACCATTTTGCTCATTTGCCTTCAGTAGCAGTAAAGCTCTGCTGCATGAAACATTAATTGCCTCCTGTCTATTTTTTGGAAATCTTGCCACGTTTTTAAGTTGTTACTCTGCTAACTATACGCTGGAATCTGTTTTGGATCAATACTGAGTAGAATTTCATGACACCCACTTCACACAATCTTGTCTCATGCCCTCCAACTTTTCTCCAATGGAAATGGGGACATCCTATTCCATACATTTCTCTGATGAAAACAGAGATGTCCCTTCCAACATTTCTCCAATGAAAATAGGGACACCCTAAGGAAAAGCGGGACATTCCAGGATGAAATCATAAACCGGGACAACTTCTGTAAATCCGGGACTGTCCCTGGAAAATCGGACAACTTGGAGGGTCTGCAGTGTGTGCTGATTATCTTGCCCCTTTTGTCCATGTTCTTTTGTGTTCATATGCATAAGCCCCCTTCAGACATGACAGTGTTCACTCCCCATTGAAATCCAGTTAAATAATATTTTGAATGTGGCTCTGTCGGAACCCCTTACACGCCACAGAACGGTAAGTAAAGGCTCTTCAGGGATAGACACTTTTGGTGAGATTTAGCTTCCTTTCTGTACTTTATAAATGAGACAGGAGATACTTTTATTCCACGCACAAAACAAGAATCTTTATGGAGAGGATGCTTGAATTGATGATGCATAAATAAACATATTACTTGTGCACTGGACAAGTTACGGTAGTTATCTGT